ACCCTCGTCACAGTAAAAAAAAAAAAAGAGGGAAAAAAAGTGTTTTCTTATGTTTGGACAGAACTCAGAACTTCTTGTGTTTCAGCTTGTGCCTGTTGCCTCTTGTCCTTTCACTGTATTCCATGGAGAGGAGTTTGGCTCTGTCTTCTTTACTGCCCCCCCATCAGGCATTTAAACATGTCGATAAGATCCCCCTGAGACTTCCCGTCTCCAGGCTGGACAGTCCAAGCCCTCTCAGCCTTTCCCCATATAAGAAACCTTCCAAGCCCTTAATGGTTTTTCTGTCCCTTTGCTGTACTTGTTCCAGTAACCTATGTCTGTCTTGTACTGGGGAGCCCAGGACTGGACACCACTCCAGATGTGCCTCGCCAGAGCTGAGCAGAAGGGAAGGATCACCTGCCTTGGCATGCTGGTGATGCTCTTTCTCATGCAGCCCAGGTCACCACTGGCCTTCTTTGCCGCAAGGGCACACTGCTGGCTCATGTTCAACCTGGTGTCCACCAGGACCCACAGGTCCTTCTCTGCAAAGTCGCTTTCCAGCCTCTCAGCCCCCGGACTGTACTGGAGCGTCAGGGTTACTCCTGCCCAGGGACAGAGCTTAGCATTTCCCTTCATTGAACTTCATGAGACTCCTCTTGGCCCATATCTCTAGCCTGTTGAGGTCTTTTTGAACAGCAGCACAGCCATTTGGAATAATCTGCCTTCTGCAGAGCACTCTTCTTGATACCAAGAAGTTAGAGGTTGGCTTAAAACTTGAAGGTACAAGGCATCATTACCTTGAAAAATTCAAGCAAGCCTCTTGGACATTTGAAGGTCTAAGCACCCTTAGAAGTATGTCTGGTAAGTACTTAGCTACATGCAGATCAATGCAGATCAGTATGAGATCACTGTGTGACTCGAGTCAAAAGTAGCAAATCACAAGAGATCTTTTCAAAGAAATAAAACCTTTAAGGAATGGCCAGGCTTTCTACAGAGGTCATACCTGTTCCAAAAGACTTCAATCCACGGGGTTTTTTCAACAATCTACTGAGTCTATTTCTGTAACACTCCAGGTTTAAGGCCAGGAGGTGTCTTGGCCTGGGAGCTGCCTGGCAGGGTGCCATAAATACTTAAAGAATTTCCCTGAGCAGATCATCTCCCTTTAAATGTTTATGGATTTTACAGCTAGAGCATGGATCTTCTACAATCTATGAGCAAATTCTGCTGTTAGGCATATTCTACACTTCCCCAGCCTTTGGAGACTTTTCTTCGTAACAGATTTTAAACTTGGAACATTTCACAGTCTGTGAAAGCAAATTCTTCTTGATTGTCAATTGGGGGAGGGGGAAATTTCATACCCAGTGAAGTTACTGCTACTTCTCCATCAAACTGGAGAGATGCATCAAACTAGATTCTTGTAGAGAACTCTCCCAGAACTTGTATTATTCAATATTTTCATTAATGACAAGAATGAAGGAACAGAGGCTGAGCTTATTAAACTTTTAGATGGCACCTTGCTGGGAGGGGCTGCAAATATGCTGGAAAACAGACTTAGTATTCAAAACAGCTTTGATTTTCTGAGGAAGTCTGGGGAAAAAAAAGATGTTATTCAAAGAAGACATGCAAAATTCTACAGTTACTTAAGAAAAATCAGCTATTCAAATGTAGTAGACAGGGGCAGCACTAGCTACATGGGAGCTACAATGCCAGCATTGGAAGGCAGGATTTGGACTCCGCATGGAAGCAAGCCCAAAATGAGCCAAAAATTCCTGCAAGTCTGAGCAGGCTCCATCACTGCGTATTTTTAAGAAGAGGGCAAATGTTGGTCAAGAGTGACAGATACAGCTAGCCATGCTGTCGGATAGAGGGATGGACTAGAAGGCATCCCAATGCATCTTTCAGTCCTATTTTATGAGTTTTCATTTGACAATAAGAGAAGTTTCCCTGCTTGTTTCAGACTGGTGGGCATCTCTCATGCCCTAGCATCACTGACAGACTGTCTCAGTATCCCTTTTAAGATAGATCTAGCCTTCTGACGACAGGAGCTAATAAGAAAACCAACAACTACAGCTTTTGGAAGTCTGTTCCAGAAGCTCTGCTCTCTGAGCAGTAAAAGTCTTTCTCAAGTTTTCTGCCTAAACAGAGTCAAGATCAGTCTCTACCTTCTCTCTTCTATGCGCCTTACTTTAATTAGCACTTTTCCCCATGCTTTCTAATTCCCTTGTAGTCTTTGCAATATATTCCAGTAACCAACAGTGCTATCAGGACAGGATTTATCTTGCTTTGAGGACCGAATAAGCTGCGTGCTTCTAGCCTCGTGGGTACTGCACACAGCACAGCTGCTTGCAGCACATGGTCCAAGGGCCTGGATTCCTTTATGAAGGATATACTTTCCAGTCCTGTTACAAGAAGATGTTCCAGGTTGCTGTAGAGGAGTACAAGCCATCCGTTGAACTCTGTGCCAACAGTTTCAAACCTCTTCTGGATGCATGCATTGCTTGCTCCTCAGACCTTCGATAGCTGGTAATTACTCACCCTTTGTGAATGGTAGGCTTACCTGACAGGCAAAGCACCACTAATATTTTTGAAGCGCAGGCAGTGCAGGGGATACTCTGAGGTCAGGGTTGCTAGCTGAGTGCCCGCTACAGATTGATGATTAGTCTACAGTGAAACAAATTCAATAAGGAATGTACCTTATTGTCTGCAATGGCCCTGAAAAATTTTGAAATCTCTGGTGTCTCTGATGACCCTTCTGTAAGTTCCTTATCCTTTCCCAGTCTCCCTCCATGTGTCACTCCTTTTATTTTTCCTAATGTGGATAGAGACTGATGAACTTTTAATACAACCATCCCCTTTCCTGTTGGTGACAGCTCATTCAAGGTGGCCGAGTACCTGAACTACTCTCTAACCATCTGCTCCGTAAGAACATCAGAGTAAGATGCGATGCTCTGACATTCCAGCCGATGCGCTAGTCATTTAACAGTGTAGCGGGGTGCAAAGTTGCAGTGGAAGACTCAAACCTCTGAAAGAGAAGTTCAGCTCTGATAACTGCTCAAGTCAATGGAACTGTAAGACGGATTAAGTTAGCCTGAAGACTTCCCTCACGGCAAATTGTTCTCAGAAAGCAGATTGCTCTCTCCCCTCAACACAGCTACTGAAGAATCCAGTTGCTTCATAGACCAAAAGGTGTGCCAGACCTGGAAGAAGCCCACCACAAGCAAGAAGCTTAGTGAGAGACAGGATTTTTTAAACCCTGGAGAAGTTCCGATTTGAATTTGCTTCTCTCTGATTTTAATACAAGCTTTAGCTGAACCAGAAAGAACATCCTAGATGTCCAGCTAAGAGGGGTATCACTGTGAAGGGGAGATCCTACTCCTGGGAAAACATGAACTAGTAATGCTTTGGAGACCTTCCTATCCTATTAGATATGGAATAAGAAGTTGTCCATCTTACTGCCACTTGAGACCCAGCTCTTATAAAGTTTGAAGAAACTAAACTAATCACCATTAGAAAACAAGGGTCAGTAAGTGATAATTAAGTAGCTTGGGAATCTATTAAAAAAACTTCAGAAATCAGTGTTTACACTATGTAGTTACAAATTAGCTGCAATGGGCATTGTTAAGAAACCATTTTTATAAGACAAACACTGAACGTGTGCACATTAGAAGAGTTCTCCCATGATTAGAAATCACAGCACAACTCATTTTATCCCATCCCTAAATTAGAAACTTAATGCCTCTGTTTATTAGCAGAAGGAAATTCTATTACATTCAAGCAATGCTAAGGTACAGAAAAGCACAGTTTTTGTGCAGCTCTGCAAAAAAAGTAGTTGGAACAAAGCTGCTCACAATTACAGCTCAGTGCTTCAATGATTTAATGACTTGAATGAATGAACATCTTCGGAGTCACAAACATCAATGAATTCTCCACTGATTATGGCCTTCAGGAGTCAAAGCAGCTGAAGCAATGACGCTGGTAGATATGAGTGCTGGGACTGTAGGAGGAACTAGAGCCCTCTCAACACTCAGCACTTTGTACGTGAACATGCCGTTTGTTGCTGTAAGAGCCATAAGTTAGCACATAAGAGCTCCCATATTCCATGTTGTTCAGGAACTACTCCTGACCAGGAACCCCAAGAGCTTTGCATTAACCACTGTCCGAGCTCCAGCTGATCGATGCTGTTCAGCGTGAGCTCCTGCACAGTGGCACCTCCTCTGAGAGCTTCAGAAAGGCGCAGGTCCCCGGAGCTTCCCTGGGGAGCCAAGTCCAGCTACACCCAACTAACGAACAACGGCAAGAACATACAAGCTGTCTGCGCCCTCTAATAAATGCCCTGTTGTCCCAGATGTCCTGTGTTGTCACCTGTGTCCTCTGGAAAACTCATACTGTGGTTAGGCAGCAAGAAGCCCGCTACTTCTAGCTGCTTGCCTTTCTGGACTACAGCCCCGCTAACCTGACAACACCACCGTGAAAGGCAGCAGTCTACACTCTCACACTGCCCTCTGGAATTTGGCAAAACATGAATTTATTCCTCCACAGCACACACTGCCTACAGCAACCCCTTCACGTGATCACGAAGTCTCCACAGAGCACACCCCATCTGTAATTATCATTTCTTGCTGTTACTATGCATCTACACCACTTGTGAAACACTGCCAATCCCAGGCTACAAAATCATGCCACGTTTTCATTCCACTTTTTCTGTTTACTGATCTCAGCCAGCCCACCCGTGTACGATATCAGTTTCTGCTAGCACAGATGTGACAATCCACTGCAACGGAGTAGTGCCAGAAGAGCAGCAGATTGACAGTGCCCCCTTTCTGGCAGTGTTTCGACATCGCTTTCCACCGGCTTGGTAGGTTTAGGCGCTGGGGATTAGCTGCAGGACACGTAAGCTTGTACTGAGGTGCAGTCCACGGACAGCCGTTATTGTTACGTATATGAGATCCACAGTTAGCAGACACAGGCGACCTGCTCCCTTGCCGTGCTGTAGGGCCTTCTGGTGAAGACTGCCCGGCGGTATGAAAATGGCTGCTCAGGGCTCCCACATCAAGCTGACGCAAGCCTACTGCGTTAGCTTCCTTCGAGAGGGTGAGTGTCTTCCACCAGCACGCGCCCCTCCATTTAACATCGCTTGCGTTTCTGACTGCTGAGGGAGGCAGAGATGTCTCGCGCTGCCTTCGGGCTCGAAATGGCTTTCTGTATCTTTATTTTCCTGCAACACTTCAAGGATCAGTTTTCTTCATGCCTCAGAGAAGTGGTATCTAAATCGTTTTAAACTGAAACAGGGACAGAATAAGCTGTGCAAATCATTTTCTAGTAGAACCTTAATTACATCCTGCAGTGTCTCGTCCTCAGCAAACCACTAGCAATAAAAGTCTGCATTTCATTTGGGAACCGACAGGGCTGGGTTTTTCTGTTTTGTTTTCCCCAATTGGCGTATACATAATCTAGCCTGGGACTTTGTTCCACGGCATTTTTGTCAAAGGCACCAGAGAGTATGCCTGCAACTACTAAATCTTTCTCAGGTTCGCATTCAATTTGCAAGTTATACAACTGTAACTAAAGAAAGAGACGTTCTGTTTGCAGGAAGGTGTTTGCCAGATCCCCACTGGCAATGGTGAAAAGTGATTTATGATCAGTTTTAGGTAACATGGCCTCTCAAACAGATTTTAAAAAGCCTTTACAGCCATGGCCTAACACCAAAGCCTTTTCTATAGGAACATACTCAATTTTAGCTTGTGTTGGTGCCCTGCGATGCAACTGCAAAGGCAAATGGGTACAAATGTTAAATACATCCTTTTGATGAGGCAAAGGGCTTGGTACCTTTCAAGTCTATCAGATCTCCCCATGCTCCACCATTACAAATCTGTGCCTTTCCCAGTTTCTTGGTAGTACGAGGTTGTTGATGATTTTTAATCCCTCAGTTCATTCTTCTGTACAAAACAAGAATCCTATGTTTTCTGAACCCCTCCAAGAAAGGTGGATTCACCTGTCCCATTTTTTAGGGGTACAAATAAAAATATTTGAATATAGCCCAAGCCCCACATTCATATGTATGCTTACACATACAATTCACAGTAAACGTGTCCTTCTTCCCATTTGGGGCTGCTGCACTCCATTGCCCTTATGAAAAATTCTTTATAATACTGTCATCACTGCCACGAGCACAGGCATCCCCTGGCACATACAAATTCCTCAAGGGATGAAACCACTGCAGTTCTCGCATCTTCTCTCAGGCACCAGAAGAAGTTGGTTTGCATTGTTCCCATAGCACGCACAAGTACTTAAAACTTTGACCCCAGGCTTGAGCTACAGACGCCTTGCCCACTTTTTGTTGGATCCTCCACTGTTGCCATTGCCTTCACAAACCCTCAGGCTGCGCTGAGAGCTGGGTTACCGATTTCCCTTGCTGGCAAAGTCGGATGGGCTTTCAGCAAGACCAAACCCAGGGATCTCCTGCACTTGTTTGCGCAGTCCAACTCAGTAGGCCCTGCAGAGTCTTGTTCCGAGCCTCAGTTCATGACCCCAGCCCTTACTGGGTGTCGTATTCCGGTACTACACTTCTCATGCAGTGCTTCAGTTGCTGTAACAGTTTCATAATTAGCCTCCTTTGCATAAAATAATTGAATATTCAATACCAAACATCCCTGAGCCAAGTACTGAAGGTGTGTCCAGCTTTACTGAATCCTTCCAGCCACAGTCCAACACCTCCGCAGGGCTGAGCGTTACAGGACACAGCTCAGAGCCAAAGGGAAAAGAAGCTCCACACGGAGCTCACCAACAGGAAGCAATCTTTACTCTCCAGAAGCTGTGTGGCTTCTTATGAAGAGAACTGGGCTCAGCCCCAGAAGCCCTGGCAATGTCAATCACAGGTTTTGAACCTCAGCAGCCTGTATAGCTCCCTTCCTCCGTCTGCTTTGAGACTACCCAAGCCTTTTGCAGCCTAGCCCCACTGACCATGAAGCATGAAAGCAATAAGAAAAGCCACACATCAGCTACCCCACAACTGTTGGAAGCTTCGTTTATAGTCTGGGTATTTCCCCTTTTACTAGCACCGCCTTTTCTATCTGTAAATAAACCTTCTCTAGCTGTCCATAGTTCTGGAGAACTTCAGTGCAGGTAGATGGCAGGTAGGCCATTCTTCATTAGAAAAAATTGGCATTCTTTGAGGAATTCAGAAAGCCTAGAACTTCCATTTAGTACAAAAGGAGTAATTAAGGGAGAAAAGCCCCCACAAGCACCCCTACATAGGCAGATGGTAGCAATTAGAAAAGGCAGACCACAGCTCTGAGAGAAACGCAAGACCTAGAAAGCATAATTCCTTTAGTTCAGTCTTGTAACTGT